TACCAAGGCTGCCCCACAGCAGCCCGAACCAGAATTGGAAAAGGGACCACATTAGTAGAAAATAATTCTGCAGAGCCTGCTGGTATTAAAAATTCCTTTAAACATCAATTGTAATTGAATTATAGTTCCGCTCGAAACCAATTTGCAATCAAACTATACTTTCCTCAAAACTAAATGAAATCAAATTGAGTTCCATATAACTTCATCTGAAATATGATTAAAATTCTTTTTCATACCAAGTTGAATTCCACTTAAAATCAATTGAAATCGAATTAAATTCCATTTGAGTACTAGAGCTCCAAGAGCCTCGAGGATTTTCAATAGAGGTTCGATACATTCCTATTCAGTTTGTACTAGAGCTCCAAGAGCCCACAGAGATGATTAATAGAGATTCAATACAGTCTTATTCAGTTTGTACTACAGCTCCAAGAGTCCCAATCATTCTTTTAATCTGGCGCCATCCATTTCTTATGCTGGCGGGGGGAGGGGGGGGGGGCGGCCCCCCCCAAATTAATCCGGTGCTAGGATTAACAGTGCGGCACGACTTCAGTAGACTAGAATACCACAATTCTCATTGTATATGGTACCTAAAGTCGCGCGGATGTTTTATGTCAACCGTAGTACAAAAATCAGCCCAGCCTGCAACCCCAAACGCTCAAATCAGCCGGCTGCGCCAGAAGCAGAACCCCCGTCCTTACTGGCGGTTAGTAGTTGGGAATGGAAGAACGGAGCTGTATAGGGTTTGAGGGTTTAGGGTTTAAGTAATTATAGCATTCCCACAAAGGGATTACGTAAACTTAATCCTATACCCCATCTTTCTTTATTGCCTACTAACGACTGGCAAGTATCTCGTCCCCATCCATAACATGCTTTTTGTAAATACTCTTTATCCTTCTAAAGCCTTAGACAAAGAAAGACAGTTTCCATTTCATGTTCCATTCGTTTTTGATTTGACCCCTCATTCTAACCCCAAACCCTAAAACTCCTGAAGCTGATTGCTGTAGATGATTATGGACCTTCCTTTGGTAACTCAGCGGCGTCGGACAGCGTGTAGTTAGTATCCGGTGCAGGGGGCGGTCAGGTCCCCATAAGCTGTCTCAGTCACGGGGTGCTTTAGTCTAAGGTTTGAAGTATGGGCCCCTAATANNTTTTTAGGGGGATTCTAGGGACCCGGGTACATATAGAGTATATAGTAGGTATATAAGGACCCGGATTGTCACCTTGCGATGCTGTATGGCCATGCAAGCAGCAACAAGCCTTCAGGAGTTGTCCGGCCAAGAGCTCATGGGTCGCGAGGCTGGGCCTACTGCAGGGGTCTACAACTCCAGCTTCCCTTCAAATCAATTATAGAGGCATCGGCATAATGCAGGGATGTTTCGGGTCCTCTTGAAAGGGGTTCTTTAGGGATTGAGTATGGAGACATAGGGTTCCTTTTGAGCCGTGATATGGGCATATGTACGGACATCTAGGAGTGTTAGGGCCTATTAATTCGAATAGAGGAGAGTCCAATTGACAACGAAAATGAGATAGGGGTTTACATAGGGGTGTACATATGGCCTATCTCATTCGACTACTTTTTTGGGGTGGTATGTTCTAAGTTCTACCACGGATAAGGATCAGAATCATTAGGGAATGATATTGGTAGTTATTCTAGTTTTCTCGACGGTTGGCTGGAGCTTGGTGAGTATGGACTAGAATTCAGAGGAATTTGGATTAAAGGGATTCGAACGAGGCGCCAGATGTGTGTCAGCATTTATGGGTGCCCCCACCCCCTGGCCCCCGCCCACTGGTCCATGATATAGAGTATGATTAGCCTACCCCAGCCCCCTGTGGTCCTGTTGTCTGGGTTTGGTGGTTTAAGTTAGAGGTTAGATTAGATTTGTAGTAGAGTATAATCCGAGGGTTTAGAGCGAAGGTTTACGTAGGGTTCATAGGTTGTAGAGCAGGTTTAGAACAGGTTCGAGACAGGTCTTTCGGAAGGGTTTACCGAGGGTTTATACAGAGTATCAAGGTCTTATAGAGTCTTATAGAAGGTTTGCAGGAGGTTCATAGCTTTTATCGACGGTTTGTAAAAGATCAGAGAATTTTCTGGAGGGTCGTGGCGGGCTTATAATACAAGAGTTTCATGGAAGTTTATTATTGGGGGGTTTATAGAGGGCCCTCCACGTGCCCTGGGTCGTGTGTAGAGGGTTTATAGAATGTTTGAAAGAGGGTTTGCTATCCCATACGGGACGGGGAATGCGGAGCGCAGACGCATATAGGGCACAGAGATTACTATAGGAACCCATTCCCTGCATTCCCTGTGAGACTTTTCGCAAGCCCAGGATGAGCCATAACCGCATACCTCCCTCTGAGGGGACGAGGGGCCGCTTCTGACGTGTTGGACTCGCCCGCAACGTGGGCTCAAGCGGTGGAGTGATGCGCCGCTTGGGGCAGCCTTGGCCCTGGGCGGCTCAGCACAATTGGCTACGGTTCAGGGTTAAGGGTTTAGGGTATGTGCGACCACTGTAGCTTCCCCCTTTTGGGGTCCTGGTATTCAAGATCCTGATTTGCGGTGGTCTGTGTTGAGCTCGGTTTTCGCATGCATGCTACTTTTTCAGATGTTCGCGCTTGCCGTCTTGGATTTGACTTGCGGGGCTTCCCGTGCTTCGAAAAAAGCAGTCTGAGAGCGGCAGACAGGACCGGCAAGTCCATTTTTCCAAAGTTGGGAGCTTAGTTAGAATGTACTTATGGTCTGGGGATATGTCATCATGTTATATCATATAATATGAAGCTCAGTTATATTCTGCCCTACACCCGAAACCCTAAACATTGTAATGGTATTTTTACAGCATGGCCGTTCCGGGGCCTGACCCGGCTACCGGGAGTGGCCCTGGTCATGTTAGTAAACCTTTGGGGTACCGGGTTTGGGGTTTAGGGTTCAAGATTTGGAGTTCAGATTTTGAAGTTTTGGGGCTTAAGGTTAAGGTATTCTGCTAGGTGTTGCCAACGCATAGTTCCTTTGTGAACATTTGGCAGAATTAAACGTGCGGGGGGGGGGGGTGTTTCTTAAGGTCTTCACAAAGAAGGGACCATTGGGAACACATTTCCTGCAAGGGGGATCCCAGGTATTTCGAACAACCATCACGTAAGAACCTCGTGTTTGGATGTTTGTAGTACGACTGCATCTTTTATCCCGTGGTGGTAAGTTGGGGCCAAGTGTATTCTAGCATCAATAAGCCAGGATGTGAACAGGATACGTATGGGGACGGAGGCACAGACTCCGTGAAAGGAAGCTTGGGGGGAAGCACGGACCTAAATAAGCTTAATTTCAAGGAGATGCAGGAAGCCTCACAAGGGAGTAGGATTGCTTAGATATTCGCAGAAAGCTTGTTTTTCCTTGGCTGGACCAGGCACCTTACGCCCGAAAACAAGGGGCCACATGCAAGTCTGGCTGTTTCATATGGAGATTGGCATACATAAGCTCCCAAAAAGAGGAACCCCTGTTTGGTGCATGTGTATGGCCTCGCATATGAAGAATTACCGTGTTTGTTTGCATAGCTTGTTGTAAGGATCTGGGCGCTGCCGCTGGTTCCTAAACTTGTATGCTCCTGTGGCTGTAGCCGAGGTTTGGGCATGCAAATCAACAGATTAAGCGTGCTTGGTGCCCATCTATGTCTGCAGAGGCACAGCATGTCCAGTGCATCTTGCATACCTGAAACACATCAAGCCAGCTTCTTCTGCGCTGGTATGCGGGCAGGCTGGTGTGACTGGACATATCACTCCGGCCGCAGATGGCACTGAGAATGTGTACTTCTATGGCGCCTTGCTGCAAGATGCAAGCTTGGTTTGGCACAGCGGGCAGAGCTTGAAGTGCGGCCGGTGTAGAAGCATGAGTTCATGAAGCATGTCATTGAAGCGTCCTTAATGCAAGGTCCGAACAACGCAGGAAACATCCTTACTGGAAGCTAGACGGGGATAAGGGCATATGATCCGTACATAATCCCTGTATAATCTACATCCTTATCTACATATAGGTATACATATGTACAAAAATACACACTCTTCTCCCCCATTAACTCCCAGTAAGAATCTCCAATGCAGGTGTGGTAAAATCTTACAGCGAGCAAGAGGGCTCGGGCTTGGTGACCTCAAGTGAGTCTGCCGCATTATTTGGCCAAGATGTATACCTCACAAAGGAGGCCCGGCGAGGGTTTAGGGTTTGTAGTCCCCTTTAAGTAGATAGATATCGCTTTGGGTATATTATAATAAGGTCCCCATATACCCCATATTCTGTCTACTTAAGGGGGAACGTAGGGTTAAGGGTTTTAAGGGTATACCGGTATACTTCACAAAGGAGGCCCGCCACGGCTCGAAGAGGCTAGACAGGGATGCCTAAGGGTTATGTGGGCCAGAATTATATAAGGGTACAGCAGCTTTTTTGGGGGAACCTATGATTAGGAATCCAGGATTCTGGAGTTTGTATTGGGACCCCCCTCGTGAGGAAACTTTACTTTATAGAGGTCTTCACGGATTTTAGGTGTTTGGGCTTTAGGGGTGCTACTCAAGATTATGGGGCCCACTTTTGGGTGTGCTTTAGACAGAGACCTACTGTTTTGGAGCATGGTGCCAGGGGGACCCCTGTTTTGAGAGGTATTCCAACAGCGTTCATGTGGAACATGGTTGCAGGGTTGGATGGAGGGGGTCCATTTCAGTTCCTGCGGAATTAGGTGTGCTGCTGGGTTTCCTTGATGTTCCCCTTTAGTTACCATTATGGATAACGCCCGCTTTTTGAATGAGCGGCGAGAGGCACCAACGGCCCGGATGCCGGATGAGCAACGGCCCCTTAATTTTGTTATGCGCCGTAGGCTTGTAATTACATTTTTTGATGAGGCTTCCTTACTTCAATTGGTGCATTTATGCATTCAGTGTCCGATTAAGGGCACCATGCAACAAGATTCTACCATATGTAATCCACTTCACTTGCCTCAACATGCCCAACCCTGAGGTCCTGCAACCTGTGCTACCACCACCTTAGCACCCCGCCAAAGGCACCAACAAGCTTGTTTTCGTGTTTTTTGGAACCCTAAACCCTTAACCCCAAAATCCTATTCCCTAAACACTAGACCACTACTGGTTTTTGGGGGCTTATTCGGGTCTGGTGTCTGTGTGTAGGATACGGAGAGCAAAGGATCCTAACCACCTCAGACAGGAGTCTGAGAAATGGGAGCTTCACGGGGTTTATAGGAATATATGGGGGTATGATTAGGCTCTAAGGTTTCCCAAAATTACGGGTATCTCCCGAAGGCTCCCATAATAAGGATTATATTATTTGGGGATCTTCATTGGGGTCCCCCTATTTAGGGAAACTACGAAAATTGTTCCAAACGAAGCGGCCTCAGACAGTGAGAATGGTTGTAGTAGCCGTGCTCATTACTCATGTTCATATGTAGTTCGCGATAACGACCCTCAAATTCATGAGTGGCGATAATAAGGTCTACAGATAGGACAATTGTAGGTGCAACCTCACTTTAGGAGAGTAATAGCAGAGCCAAGAATATGCACTCCCCTACACAAACATAGACCCTGAAAAAGGGCCCTATAGAGGTTGCAGCCCCGTCAGAATTCCATGGGAGGGTAGCTACCAACCGTCAAGCAGGAAGCTTCTGCGGCTTCGAGAGATCCTGCACCCCGGCTAGAAAACGTAGCTTGCGCTCAAGGGGCCGAAATTTGATTTTATTTGCTGCTATTGCCCAGTGGACGACAGAAGCTTTACATGTTCGCAGATGCCAGCCAGGATGCAGCAAGCAGTCCTGATCAAGTCAGGCTTGGTTATGATGATTCCTAGTTACTGTGGGTATGTTGACCGTGTGCTGATATATGGCAATTTCCCAAAATTAGGGGTACCCTCCCTTCTTGGGGGGTCCCAATAATAAGGATAATAGTATATTTAGGTTATATTGGGGTCCCCTCATTTAAGGCAACTGCCATATGTACCTTGCTGTCAAGGTGGTGGGCCCACCGTCTGGCTCAGAGTCGGGTGTGCCCCAGGACGCGGACAGTTGAGGAAGAAACCTGCAAATCTCAAACCGGAATGGTCCATGATGCGGGTGCTGTGAGGCGGAATGATCCAAACTATATCTGGGTACTTGGAATTTATACAAGGGAAGCTTTGGCAACCTAGCCTCCGCCCTGAACGTTGGCTTTAAACCCCCTTGAGTCACTGCTGGAACTTTGGGAGGTTTTCTAGGTCGCGAGCAACCATCACTTGTTGGCATACTTTAATTCGTTAGCGGAGCTAACAAAGTGCATGTATA